AAACCGGGAGTGATCCGTGCCACACTAGTGGGGCTACCTGTTTCCCAATAAATGTCAAAGTTGTAGGCCTAATCGTCAACATTACCCTTTGCTATTCCATGCTTGTTCTGCTATTGGCATAGGGGAAGACGAGAAGACCGGAGAGAGCAGAGAAATGAACTTCCAATTCCATGGTTCCGAACTGTTGACAGGAAAAATCGAAAAAGTGCCACATGGACGGTGCCATTTTGAGAAGTAAATTTACACTAGTTGAGAGCGCCACCAATCGTCGAAATGCGTTAAGGCAACTCACTTTAGGAGGCGCGATGGCCACACCCCAGATTGGTTTCTCAACTCGCATACGCGCAGGCGTTTTTCGTGCAGCCTTTCAAACTGCGCGCTCGAGTTCCATCGCGTATCATCGACGCACGGAGAAACGCCGAAAATAGTCATGGTTCTTCATCATTTCGAACCAAGCCCTGAAAAAGAGTCGATCGGCTCCCAAATGAACTTTCCCTCAAGCGTGTTTCTGATTCCGAAATGGAGGCAGGAGAACGGCAGCGACAGGCCGCCACTAGCGGGGGCCACTCGGGCCCGAGAAGCCAAGCGGAGCATCTTCAGGAAGCTATACGACAGGGGTGACCTACCCATCGCCTTACATCATGACTCCATGGGCAACAAGATCATATGGAAGGTTAATGAGTCTCTCGCCCATTTATTATTTTCTTATAGACCAGTGGACCATAATGCAAATAAGTTAATCAATCTTGTCATATCAACAGAGCTGAGAGAGGTAGACCCTACATTAATCTTGCCGTGACCGATGGGTGGATCACCAAAGCCACTTTATCTACTTCTGTCACGGGCCTAATCCATATTAAAACAATGAAAATCAGGCTGCAGAAATCATATAGGGGGCCTATTTTAATTAAAAAGTTCAGTTAATTTAAGATAACACTTAAGCTGCAGAACGACAAAAACTTCACGTTACGTGACTTATATCCATAGCGCCAAAACTGTCCGGGGGTCGGTTTTAACGCTGACACTTCGTTCAAAAGGTGGCAGCCGATCAATGAGTGATTAAAGACTACTGAGCAAGCAACACATTTTAACCCCGCCCCGCCTTATTTGGATCCACTGGATTTAAAATGATGACCCCTTTCATTTCTAGAGCCAATTAGAAGAACTGGACTACCACCACTTCCTGCCACTCTTCTTTGACGGGCTCACCGAGACGTTTCACCCTTACTCCTTCTTCGCCTACCGAGGAATCTGCGATCTGCTTGAGCACGGAGGACCGAAGATATTACCCGTGGTCCCTCAACTAATCCTTCCCATTAAAGGTAGGCCTATCTATAGTTCCCCTTGACGTTCAGCTTCTGCGTGGGTGGTACTCCTAAACCTCAGTCAAGAGAAATAATTCACGACACCGTAAACGACTTTACTGCCCGAACATTACTGGTGATTTTCCTGTTTATTTACCTCAAAATACTTGTACTAGGACTAAGTTCTTTTCTTTAATCAGAGGCTCTGAACACCCGTACTAAACAAGTTGTATGCAACACTCTGAAGTCCTTACAGCACCTGGTGCGTTCGGCAGAGCTGGTTGGTGAAGCCTTGGTGCCGTATTACAGACACATTCTTCCTGTCCTAAACATTTTCAAGGGTCAAAACTGTGAGTAAAACCACGTACACTACACTACTAACTATTGAAGGACTCAGAAGGGTTCAGAAGCTGAAATTGTTCATTTCCAAATCAATCCTCTGAAGTTGGCTTTGAATTTTTGTGTCATTCTTTTGTAAAACAAGAAAGTAGAAACGGCCCAGAGCGACGGTGCGCAGGACGCCCGAAGCGGCAACATGGCCGTCTTGCTTGCCATGTCTGTTGATACACAGGGCCAAACGAAATTTTGAGTGTGCTGTACGGCGATGAAATTTATCCATACAAGACCATTCTAAGGAATGCAGCAAAAATGTAATACACTCAAAAATGTTAACGGTGAATTTTCCACAAGGAAAATCAAGCGTTGCATGGACACTACCTACCTTTAAGCCACCATGCTGCCAAAATTTTGTCGACATTTTTGGCGGGCCGCATCGTCCGAGTTTTCGCGTGCCAACCTTGGTAACGGTGCAGGATTTCGTTTTTACCAATAAGACTAGAGTTTATGAATGGCGACATAATTGCTTACGTTTAATCTCCGAAATGCATGTGACGTGGTTTGTTTGGTAAATTACAGTCAACTTGGGCGACGGAATCGAGTACGGTCAGCAGAAACGGGAAAATATCGGCGATTTGATAGAAGAAACATTGAGGGCGCTAGAAAGGTACGGCGGCGACGAGGCTTACACGTACATCCGATACATGGTGCCAACCTACCAATCATGCCACGAGAACAACTGATGAATATTCATTACCCTGAGCACTGCCTTGGATGCAAGTTTGCATATTCATAATTTGACAGTGTTCAAGGTTTAGAGGAAACTCTCCACTAACTTTTTGTGCAAATGCTTTTCCTCGACTTCATATTTGTATATTTTTATTTACCAAACTAGTCAAACAAAACCAAACTTAAAATTTTTGATTTTTCTTTCTCCCAGTCGGTTTTAATGACGAATAATATCAAAACATTTTCAATGAATTAACAATCAGTTTATGATAAATTGTAAAAATAACGAATTCCTTGTAGTAAATGCTATTAACAGTTCATTTCTCATCTTACTCTACTCAAATCAATGGCCTCCTGTTTCTTTCGACAACAAAAACTGAATGGGGAACAAAAGTTGAAGTTATTCTCAAAAACAATTCCACGTTATGTGATCCTGACCTTTCATGCGGCCAAAATGTCTAGCCTGCCATGTCTGAGGTTGGTCTGGCTGCAGCAAAAAAAAACACATACTGAAAATGTCAGGTAAACTGTTGAGTGACACATTAGTGACAGCTGTGCCCTTCAAAAAATTAGTGCTTATGTTATTAAGTGAAAAAAAAGACACTAGAATCTGGTAATCATGGGGAAAAGGAATAACAAAGGGGTAGGAATCACAATATCAGGGTGAAGCCATAAGGAGGGCAGATCAAGAAAATCAGATAGATGGAAAGATAGAGGGAAAGAAACAACTATCTTTGAAGTTTATACTTGGACTGACAGGCTTCATTGAATCATTCTGAATTCTTCCAAAAAAGGCAATTTAAAAGATTTAAGGAAGAGAGGTCTTAAGACAGTGAGGCATTTTGCAGTCAGGCTGAGCAGCGGTCATACTTCAGAAGGGTATTCGTATTTGAAATTTCATAGGAACTGTTTTTCTCATTCCAATTTATACAGGAGGCTCATCGACTCTACCAAAAGTTTCTATAACTACCACAAATCATAGGTGGACTACTTAAGTACAATATTCCATACAAAAATACATGAATATACACTTTTTTCTTGCTCTTCAGGAAAAAAACGAAACAAAGAAAAACCACATCTACTCATTAAACTATGATTAACTACCTACATTTCTGTTCTATTTGTAATATGTTGAGATTACATTTTTACGGTTATTACGAATGAACAACATCTTCGGTGTTGCTTCTCAATGCATAGATAGTGATACTTCAGAACTTAACATTTTGCATAAACTCAATTCTGGTATATTGCATTTTGTTTTGATGTTATGTTTTAATGGGGAAAGGATTTTTTCAGTGGATCCATGAGGGGAAAAGGGTATCTCATTAAGGCATGAAAAGAAAAATGAATTTTAGAAATCTTATTTGAATTTTTTGGGGGCAACTAAACTAAATTTTTTGGGGAAGCAACTAAACCTCAATTGAGCTTCTGGAAATCTGTTGGGAAGAACAATTCTTTGGAGCTGGAAGAATTGGTATGTGTACATAGTCTTTATATTATCTCAATACCAGATTGGAGGCCAAAAGAATGTTCAAATTACAATTTTTTTTTTAAATTTTTAACTTTTGATCTTTGAACTGGCTCTGAAATTTAAGTAACATTAACACTCTTTCTTGAAACTTCAAGGGAAGGAATTTTCACTAAATTCAGCAGTTCATGGATCACAAAAAGAGACCATTTAAAAAACAGCAAATTTCATTGGGGAATTGGAATAAGAAAAGAATGCTTTGTAAGAAACGCAGGGTACTAACAGTAACCAAAATAATGCATAACCTGTGAATAAATAATGTTGCATAACTGTTGCATATGCTAATAATCTGGGATATACGGAAACGGTAAAGAATATACATGGTGGAGACATAACATAAGATAAATAAATGATATAAATAGGCTTACAGGGCAAACTTCAGGAGATTTAAGACTGTGGGTGTAATAATTGAGAATTGTAGAGGGCATCCTGAAACCACAAGATTTTTAGATCCTTCAAAATTGGCTGAAATGGCACACTGCTGTCTGTTTTGGATAATGTTGGCATTTCTAATCAAGTGCAGCAAGTCTGGTATGGAATGGTGTAGTCTCCACCATCCCTCCAAAAGAAATCCATCCACTGATTTTGGCCTAAAATGGCAAAAAAAAGAGGATTTTCTAAAATCTCACTGAAGGGTCATGTGACCAGAGAAGTGCCAGAAATTGGCCTCGTCTTCTCTTTCTTCTTATAATGGATATAACTAACCGGTTGTGAATCTTATCTGTGCCGGCATGTTGAACAGCCAAAAAATCCCCCCCCGGCAAAAGAATGCCCTCTACAATATTAAATTTGTTTTCCTTTAAAGAAGGCACATTACAGCAAACCAGAATGGCCGATACATCACATTTTCCATTTCTGAGTTTACGTTATCGCAGAATCAGGGTGGGATTATGCCCTGATTTATGACAAAACGTGTTCAAGTAATAAAACAGCTTTATACAGACCATTCGTTAATTTCTTTTACATCTCTTTCACAAGTAAAAAAACAAAACAAACATGCAGTAAAAAATGCTTCTAGTGAGCTAAGCCTCAACGACAGTCTGTACTTAAGTCTTACATATTCTGTTTGTCTGTGTTCCATACCATAAAAAGACCCTGCTAAATCCGCGTAGTATTAGTTAAGTTAGGCCTAGATACTTCTCAGCAATTTTTCCTGGTTTTTACTCAGTCTTTTTCTCTTGTCGCATGCTTTCTGGACAGCCCAAAATGTTCAGATTACAATTTATTCAATTCATGAGATGAAATTAACAATGAAGCAGCAGGAACTTCATTTTTGAGTTCAAGTTCAATTTCTTGGACAAATTGATTATGAGCAATACATAAAGTTTCAAACATTTTTTCGAGATGAATTTTTTTGGTTGATTCGTTTGATTGGATAATGAAGGGAAAAAAACCACAATAAATATTCTCTGGATACATACCCTGTTTGGTGTTGTAAAAAGCTAGCAAATGAATATTGAGAAAAAACCAACTGACTATGAACCTATTAAGTTCCTATTTTCAACAATTCTCAAGTCCAGATGACTGATTAAACCTGCTAACGTGACCTGAAGGGAGGAACCAGACTCCTTTTTGTCTGCATTCTGTGATCTGATTGGCCAACTCAGAATGCTGAAGTCACAATTCAATCCAGGCAGCCAATGTAAACTGTTCCTTTTTGAGGGGATGTGAAATACAATGAGACAGAATCCAAACCTCCATGATTCCAAATTTGCTGAGATTAAATGACTGGATCGGTATTGTGCACTTCCATAATACAAAAGAGAATAACCTAGAACAAAATGTACTGTATCGGACAGTAGCGTACCTCATAATAACCTCAGTCAGTCAGTTTTTGGAGTGAATTCAAGCTTGGCAAGACTGTTCTTGGAATATAATCATCACAAAATACTCTGACATGTAAGACTGTTACGGCTCAATCTACTTATTATCTAATCTGAAAGTCTTTAAGTGTAACAGAAGTCCCAAAGCACAAACAACCAAACACTATAGACGAAAGAGTAAATATAACGGTAAATATAACAGTAAATATCGGTCAATATGCATATAAATGTCACACACTCCAACTATTATACATAATGCATAATGTGAGATTGTAGCTTGAAGGCTGGTTAATAGTTTGCGTACATGGGAAACAAACTGCCCAACTGTAAAACCAAAAATACACAGACGGTGGAAACCTTTGTTGTATCGTGACCTGAAAGCAGTTGGATATTAGTCCCCTTAAACTGACGACCATTTCAGCCTGCTCAAAAGTTCCTTTCTGATGAACTGCTTAGGGTGGAAAAAGACTTTCCACGTTGCCTTTTTTTGGGGCCTATTTAAATCTGTGGGGACATCATTTCACCTGTCCGCTGAACAGGGAGATCTTTTACATAATTTAACTTCAAAATATCCTGGATGGTTTGTCCCTCTGAGCAGCAGCAAAATATAAACCAGCCTTTACACATCCAACACAATCTGATATCATCAACAATTTAAAATCATAAAAGAACTTGAATTTTCTCATCTTCCCTCAACCAAAAAAACAAAAACAAAATAAAATCTAAAATTACCTAAATAGCCTCGTCAACTTTGCCATTTTCAAACTCTTTTCCGAAACAAAAACTTTCAACCTTTACATCCATAATACTTAATGCTAAATCAGCCTCCTAACAAACATCCTTTTTTTTTTTAGATTCTGTTTTTACTAAACAAGATTTTTAAGTACAAATGCTTGCTTCGGAGGGGCAGCAAACCCCTTTAAACTGTGCAATAATATGGAAGCACATCGACTTTGCTTATTAATACTCTTGATTTAAACTTTCAATCTACTATCTGTAACATACATTTCCAAAAGATCCGTGTACCTAGCATGCCAAAAAATTCTCTTGGACTTGCAGGAATTCATCTCAAAATTTCCTCTGCATTTCTCCCAATGTCCCAAGTTGTTCCTCAAGAAGTTCACCCTGGTTACGGATCATCCCCCCCGTTCCCCCCACCCCCAGTTTGAAGCCCAACTTCTGCAGATTTTTATTTCAGGAAGTTTATCGCAAGTCATATCACAGATAGAACTCTCCTTTTCTTTTTTTGTTTCCAGTCTCTTTCTTTTGTGGACTTTTTGTTACACTGCTGCCGCATGCGCTGCAAGGACAGCCACGTGTTCCCCCCCTGTCCAATCAATTCCCTGAGAAGCTTTGAGGCAGCTGTGGTGTAGTCATGTGACCTCTTCGTCTGTAAATTGCTTTCAAAATGACTTCACTGACCTATGTGTCACGTTAAGGCTGCTGGCCATTCCAACGTATTATAAAATAATTCCTTTTTTTTTTCTTTTTTGTATATTTTATTTGGTAGTTTTAAAAATTTGTGTTGGTTGATACTTTGACCATATCTATCTACTTACAACCACAGTGAGTTAAGGAATCATGCTTTTTTTTACATTTGTTTGCAACAGTGCTTAATTTTCAAATTGAACTGTCCTGAACTGCAGCTGAAGTACGTCTTGGTGTGACCTAGGAGACGAGTTAATGTAAACGTGGCTGAGCCTGACAAATATTCATACTCACCTTCAAAATGATTCCACAGATGGCCAACACATAAGGTTTGTGCAACGTGGCTGGTTCACATGGACTGCTCACATGCAAACTGTAAAGCCCTTCACTGGTCAATTTACAAGTGAACACTGACATTGCAACCAGTTCCGCAAATAATTCCCAAGTAATGATTATGCCCAGTTCAGAAAGGACAAATGCTATTTGTTCCGAACTAGAGATCCGTTGAGTGAAAATTGCACGTCAATTACAAGGCGAATGTGGGAGCAGATCTGCATACTCCAAATTGAAAAGTAGGCACTGAAGAACCATTCTGTATCTTAAACAAGACATGTTTTTACCCTGTAACGTACTGCGTGTAGCAACAAGACAGGGTGATTATCTTGGTCCGACACTAATGCTAGAACATGTACAACTCTCCCAGGGGTTATTGCTTAATGTTTACAGGCACTCGGATGCTTAAAATGAAGCTCTGGAGCTAAGGGCAACAGCGAGAACTAAGCAGAAAACTAGCCTTAAATCATGTCCTGCGCTTGACATTTTGGCCTAGTTGCCTACACTGTCATTTCTGACAGCTTGGAAAAATTTGTGGGTGTGCAAGCCTGCCCGCCTGGACTGCATTCTATTATTATATTTTAGATGGCACTCAATTTTCCTTGAAGCATGCTAAGGTGAATTAGAAAGAAGCTAGTTTCTCTGATTACGCCTACAGACAACCTATTGTTACAAAACCAGAATTGGTAATAAGAGAGAACAACATCCACAAAGGTTGTTAGGTTGTGCTGTGTTCTAGATGAATTACATTTCTGAAATTGGCTAGTTGCTATGTTTGGAAATGGAACAGACTGTAACTACATTTTGCACCAATGCAGGAGATGATATGAGGAATTTCCTTCATTTCCGACACGCAAGTGGTAGTTACCAGAAAATGTTTACACGTTCATTCCGAGTTCATGAAACTGATGAAAAAGCCATCTGGTACACAGCACAAAATCCTGCATTATTATTACAGAACTACACACAATGAATCTCAATGCTTACAAACAACCCCACTGTCAACAATGGAATGGTCAGGCCAACGTCACCTGATAATTAAAAGCCTCTACATGCTCAGATTAAGTTCCAAGAAAGCAGTAACTGAAATATGAATATTCACGTCAGTGACATCGGAGGAGCATTCCACTGAGAGGTGGGGGAGAATTAATCGGAAGACATTAAGTTGTTGAGAAAAGTAGTTAATATGAAGTAACCCAAAGCAGGAATTATTCCAGGAGTGAAGTCAACAAAACTGTCGTTATTAATTTGACATACATTTCTTGGTTTTTACAGATCCAGGAGTGTGATAGGTTAAAAATAGCAACCAAACAGCAATATGGCTGGTCATTTTGACGTCAACATTGTGATTTTTTTAATTGACTAGTGTGTTATGCATTGGCCCTTAAATGCAAGAGTTGGAATTTAAAAAAAACAAATGCAGTGCCACAAAGAGACCTTTGAGATGTTCAGTGGCCAACTCGTGTCCCTTTTCTATTATTCGCGGCACCCTCAAGTAGTTCCCCAGAGGTTCTGAACAATGGAAAGGGGTCACAAAGTCTGGTACCACTAGGCATTTCCAAAGTTTCCATTGCAGTCCTATCCTTTAGTCAGCAGATGGGGAGAAAGGTGTCGCTGTGGGGCACTTTTCAATGTTAGACATCTGACCCTCTTTCCCGGTTCAGCAGGTTTTAATTTTAGGATCTTGCAATGTAATGCTGGCAAGTTTGCATCCATTGGAATGACCGATCTCTGCCAAAATTGGTGAGCGACAATTTGCGCTCTGATCTGCTGCTACTATCAGTTCTGAGACAAAGCCACCACATCTTTCTTCCCATTACATTTGTTTTGCCAAACTGTTCTTACCCATTTAGACAATGGCAGTTAACACACACTGGTCAAAATATTAGTATAACAGGGCATTTCCTCAAGCTTCTTAACGTTCCAGTGAAACACAAATTAATGACAAGCGAGGTGTTTTTTGTTTTTAAATTAAGACTAGACTTGGTTATTTGGAGACAAAAAAACAGTGCTTGGTGTAAGTACACGCTACAGATGATCTCCTGGAGTAGATGACGGTCGGCCGCAGGGTACCAGGCAATTGCCACAAACTGGTAACTAGACCAGCAGCCACTGTGGTTGTAGGTAGGAGAGGGGGGAGACTTAATGCTTGTGACCCTGTGCAGCTGATGCTTGAGGGGTTAGTCGCTGGCTTAGTCAATGACAGCTGGGGTGTTAATGAAACCAAAAAAATTGGGAAGAAAAGGTAAAAGAAACACAGGGTTAGCTTCAAATTTTAGTGTTTTTTTCCCTTCATTTTTTTGTTTGTGATTAAGACACAATAGCAAATTACATGTATATTAAAAAGACAGACCTGTACACAAATTATCACATGCATGATAGAATGTCAGAGGTCATGACCTGGGTCTGAGGTTGGTTGAAATGCAGGTCACGACGTGTGACCCACGTTAACTCGAACCATTATGTCAAATGTACACATTAACTAAAAGAGGCTACATCAAGGGTCATTAGTAATACATGTGCCAACGAAGTGTTCCTGTCAAAACACAGATGAAAGTTGTGGGCAGTTGTGCAAGCTTGGGGTCAGACTTTCAATGCTTTTTCATCAAGTTTACAAGGTTTTAGAGTTAGTTTATCACTTGTTGAAAAAGCATTGAAATAACTTTGCTCACGAATAAGGAAACCTCATCTCGTCAAGTGTCTCCTCAACTTTAATTGTTACCAAGGGAACACTGAACAGAAAGTCTTCATTTCACTGCAAGAAATTACAAAAAATTTGATTGGCTGTAAATGGCTGCTCTTTTCCCAAAGGGTCAATCACAGACCAGGACAAGACTGGGACTTGGATGAGGCGTTATTTATTAGTTCATCCATCATGCCCACAACTAGCACAATGCCCTGGTAACAGATTGCCCATCTATGACAGCTAAAAATTAATGGTTGCTATGGCGATAATGAAATGAAAAAAAAAGCTCAGCAAATCAAGATATATGGTTAGGCCAGGAGGCAGAGACAAAAAATAATAAAACCACTGACACTGGATTACCATTGGCTGCTTTTGATCAGCTGTTACATACACTTGCATGTGATTGGCTAATGAATGTCACCTGACCTAAAGTACTTCCCTCCCTTTTGTTCTGAAGGTCAAATTTTGTGCCTATTGACTTGAAGACTGTTGACTGGTAACCAGGAAAAGTAAAAGAAAAATCACATTTGTTGAATGAACAGAAGTTATACACTATTACCCAAATGGCTTTGATTTCGATAATCACATGTGATCCGTTAAACAAGATAAATCACCGGATGAACACCAAAATCAAAAAGAAGAAGTTGAGAACCACTTCTACTCAACAGTACACCGTGTGGGTTAATTGATGACTGAGAGAAGAGAAATCAATACAAACAAACTTCAACAAGAGTGTTTTAAGAAAAAGGGTCATGCTTCAGAGCGGGTTATGGAATTGATCGAAGATTTCAGTTGTTCAATTTAACAGTTAAAAAAAAAAAAAAAAGCAGCAAAAATGTGTGTAAAAAAAGCGGGCAAGGCCATGCTGAAATAAAATAGAGAAAGCAAGATTCGATACAATGGGGCAGGAAGAGACACTGTGGATAACATCTCTCTACCCTCTGTGCACTGGTCCAAAGCAACATACACAACCAAGAACTGGCTTCCTACGACCAACAGAGGGCTCAATTTCAAGATGGCAACCCTAAGGTCTTGTAGCAGCCATCTTGTAACCACGAAACAATTCCCTTTTTTATGATGAACAAAAAATGCACTGATGATACATAGTTATAAAATGCACTATTTGGATTTTGAGGCACACCGATAATTTACAATAACGACCTTTCCCCCAAGTTTCTCAGACAGAAAAGATATTAAACATTCTTCCTTAAAGATACATTTTCTCAACAGAAACAAAAAAGCAGAAACAAATATCATCTAATCAAAAACTATTAAAATGCATGGGTAGCTTAAATGAAAGTGTTACATGTACAGGAGAAATAGAAAGAAGATGACTCAATATCCCCCCCACAAAAAAACCCCACAAAACAAAAACGCTGAATTGTGAAACAAAAACTGATATCTCGCTGTTGCGGTATGTTAATTGCCTTGGTTGTGTATGCGCGAGATTGATTCACAGGCAACAAGGTGCAACTAGTCACTTTGTGTTAGTTCACTGTACATTGGACTGATGAAGTTAGCTTGTTCTTGGTTTATCTTCCCTTAAAATGAGGACAGATTTACAAAAGCGTCCCGAATGCATTCAGAGCGGTTTTAAAATTCCATTTCCATAAAAACCTCTGCTGAGTTTCCGCCCCCAGTTTCCGTTAGACTGTGCCTCTTTGATTTGAGGAAACAGCATTACTAAATTTTAAAACCGCCTAAAATGCACGCAGACTTACACATACATTTATTGCCCAGCACAAAAAAGACTGGGGATAAGACACCAGCCCAGATTGCAGAATTAACTTTTTTGTTTTGTAGAAGCATTGCTTTGGAATGGAATAGAGACCAGACAAATGTTTCTGTCAAAGTAAATCCAATTTCCAAATACCAGTAACTTCTCTGGGTTGCCTTAGTAAACAACATGCAAAACAATTCCCTTTCTTCAGTGCCGGGGTTGAAATTTATGGTATTAATCACGATTCCAAGAAATCAAAAAGGATCATCTGCTCATTCCTCATTAGGGTGGAGATATTAGTCAACCTCCACCCCAGGGGGCGAGAGGAAGGGGGAGTTGAGGTGCTCGTCCCCTGGGCGTGAGGTTGCATATTAGTGGATGGCTGGAACAACAGCAGGAGACCAATTTACCGTCAGTCCTCGCTGCGTTCTCATTGGCCAGGGCCCTGTTGGGTTCGGTTTAGCACTCAGCTGACGGGCTCCGTGCGGTGGGCATTTGGTTTGGTTTATGACAAAAGTAATGAACGTTGTTAGCAAAGTACATGTTGCTACGCTTTACAAATAACCTCGTTTGGGGTGACAAACCTATCTTGAAATTGAAATTACGGTCACTGTTAAATCTGCAAATATATGAGCTCAATCAAATCCTAAAAACTGATTCATAATTTCAAGTTCAATATTCTTAGAGAGGCTGCAATTTGTAAAGCGTCACATTTTGTTAACATGAATATTAATAACCACTTAATTAATTAACAAACCACTTGTTACAACTGTTACAAAGTCCCTCTATTAACATCCTTAACATACTCAAATTTTTAATTACAGCACATACATTAACGTGAGGGTACCGTGATATTAGAATAAGTTAATAAAGCGTCGTGCCAAACTATTCTTGAGTTCAGAACTGCCATCTGTAGTTTTTTGCATCTTTTCCAACGAGAGGTGTTGGAAACAGAACAATTCTATCACCCCCATTTTTAATGGAATCACCCATACAAGCCCAGTTGGGACAACTCCATTTGTATTGGAACATGTATTTAAATTTACATCACTGAAATTGATGACTAAAATGTACGACCGTATTGGTTTTTCGATCTTTTTCCTTTCTTTTTATTTTATTTTCTCTTCTCACACCGATAATAAAAACCCTCACTTGTAACAGTTCTTTATACTAAAAAACAACAAAAAACAACAGACACCCATAAATGAACTGCCCAAACATAATGCTGGTTCCTCCAACCAGATGGTCTACTATGGCAGTGTGGAAGTGCTGGTATCCCGCGGGCCAAATAAAAAAATACCACACTGGCCATTAGAGCTTCAAATGGCGGCAGTAAAAATTTAACTGTTTCGTTTCATCCCGCAGCTTTTAGAGGATCTCACATGAAAGCCACTGTTTACGCCTGAGCAGTTCAACGATAACATTCTTACTCCTAGGGCATCTACGGTACATGTACCACCTTATAAAACCACTACAAGACAACCCGTCACGTGAAAGTGAAACCTTATGAGATAACGGTCTACATACGGAAGACAAAAAGATACGACTACATGTTTCCCAAATATACGTCATGGTATAAACAGTAAATAAAACAAAAATTGAGTACAATTTAAGGCAACCATTCACAAAAATATATAAACATTAAACTCGTCTACCTTATTCAGTACTTGTCTTTAATTTTTTTTTTTGGTAATGAAAATATATATATCCTTTACTGAATAAGGTTGAGCACTTAATATATCCATTTCCCATTGCAGACCCCTTACACGATATCATAAATATACAAATACAAAAAATATAATACTTTTTCGGTAGAAAGCAACAGAACAAAAGGAGAATTTTTGTATTTAACCTGTTGAAAAATGTAAGTACTGGGTCTGTGTATTGGTTGCATATTAAACCGATGTTTTTTCTTCGGGGCAATAAATTATTTTGTGCAAGTTTTTTTTTTGTGCTTTGTTGTACTTTCAGTGAGTGCATGTGGAGTAAAGAAATTCTACATGAAACCAAGATCAAAACCTGAGACAATGGGAAGAGAGTTGGGTGTTGAGTTGCTGTTTGGCTTTTTGAAGTTGAAACTTCATTTTTTGGAACTGAAGTTCTGACATTTCTTCTCCTCAAAGCTTGTCTGCAAACAAGCCACAAAGGAAGTTTTCTGGATTTTAAGCAGTGGTAACATGTCTAAGTGAGAGAAAAAAAACTAGTCCAATAACTGGCATTGTCACATTCATGTTGCTACAAACGACTCTCTGTATCCTTCACAAAATTACCATTTAAAAGCTTACTGATTTTACAAAATAAAAAAAAAGCCCAAAATAAACAGAAAATAATACAAAAGAAATTAATGCCCTGATGTGGAGTACACAAAAAGTAATACTTGATACAAAATATTTCCTGTTAAAATCCGTCAACACATAAGTACAAATTGCTTCAATAAAAACAGGCACTGCAGGGTTTTAACAAGTTGCATATATAGGTCAAAGTTTACATGGGTGATAGTAAGTACATACCGTTGAACCATTGATTATATAAAAAGATCGTATTTACAACACAGTACTGACCGCATCATGGATATTGGGGTCTAAAAAAAGCCATCCATTGACCAATTCCACACTGGAGATGTATTTGTGACCCCGAAACAGATGGGATAAACCAGTCTGCACACATGTGCACAGATACGAACACAAGATTTTGGGGGGGCCAGTTTCTATAACATGAGTACAACCTGTTGTCCAACAAACTTGAAACGTCAGCAGAGTGCATTTTTCACAAAACTTTTCGAGTGAAGGTGGAGACAGAGAGGAAAATTATCTGATGAAAGTCAGCTTCAGGTAAGTTCCCTCCCCCCCACCAGGATCGGCTGATTAATCATATATGGAATTCCTGCTTTGCAATGCTCAAATTACCGGAATTAGCCCATTAGCGACCTTACTTCATTGTTGAATATTTCATTGTGGGAGACGCTCCCTACAACTGGCCCCCAAGGCGCAAGGACGTACTTGAAGGGATTAACTGTTCATTTGGTGATTTCTGAACTTCTCATGAAGTATGAATGGAGACTTAGAGGCATTTTGCCGGATGCGTGACCACCGCGGATGAGTCGCTGCGATGGGAGTTCGGTTGATCTCTGAAACTCTCTACAACTGTCAATTGCAATATGCCTCGTACAGTTCTCACATAGTAAAGCAGAATTTGCATCGACCTGATACATAATTGCAAGGTGCACAAAGCCTTACAGATCTGCACCTGATGCATTTATACTGTATCACGGGCGTGTACATGCATAATAAAAGAGAGTCATTTTGCATATCCGCCGAGGAAAACAAACTCCACACATCATCTTGGCTAGTGGTAACAACATCTTGGTTGAGATCCAGATCAAAACCACAGCAATTTCCCACAGGCAAATTTCCAAATAAAATGTTAAGCAATTTCAAAGAGCCCTGCTATAAAAAACTTTTTTCTTTTTTAATTAAGAAGCAAAGGAATTCAACCTTGTTTAAGAGCAGCTGCGGTTGGTCAATGGATGTTAATTTTTCTTAACGGTTTGAAATACAGTGTACTCTAAAGAAATATCAAACATTAGGCAGTACTGTACCATGGTGCATCAAGACTTTCGAGACATCAGAGGGTTGGGAGAGGAGTCGCTCCCAATACCATGCCGGGAAGCTCTGCGAGAGGGAAGCCAATGTGGCGTACACACACACGCACACACACACGCACGCGCGGTGAGAAGAGGAGGAGAAGAGAGAAACAAAGAGACAAAAAATACCACGAGTTAGGCCAAAGGTCACCAGTTTGATCTGGGTTTGGTTAGGAAAGCGCAAGTCATGGCTCCGTGGCTTAGTTTCGTAACAGTGTTAGTTTGGTTGAGTCGTTTTGTTTCCTTCTACTGTACTACCGATACTAACTGTATTCATGTCCAATAGTTTCAAATGCGGACAAGAGAGGTCCTTCCCGGTAATGCCATTTGCAAGACCCGCCGAGATGATATACACTCAGAGAAACTTCCAGATCCGAGTTTGAAAAACTGCCGATGAAACTGCCTGTCCTGCATTTTGCATTTCACTGCGGTTTCATCGAAAGTTTAGAAACTGGTCTGCAACCACTTTTGGTTCTTTTTTTTGCCGATTTGAACACTTTTTTTTTCAACTTGGTAAGTTTCTGAAGAAAGTTGGTTAACTTGGCTTCGGTAACTGCATTGATATTCCAGAAACTGGAGGTACTCTAGGCCTGCTGAATATTGAATTAGGCTCAAGTAAAAGAAAAAGGTCAGCAGAGCTTTCAAGCAAACGTCAGTGAGCTTTTCACCCAGAACAAAGGGCTAAAGAAAAAAAAGACTGCTTGGTAAAACTGGTTACCAGCAAAACAGTATTCAAAACATACTATCTGTAGCCGGTACTCTGCAAGTAATCCGGTACTCTGCAAGTAATTTACACAGCAGGCTAAATTAGCTTAGCCAGATTTTTTTCCTAGCTGGTGGAAGCAAGAAACCCAGACCTGATTCCTACAGCAGCGGTGACTTCAATGGATATCACGCATGCGTCTGTGGTTGTATCCATAAGCCAAGGTGTGAGCTCGCTGACATTTAATAGGCAACTTGGCTTTAGTTTCTCTTTCTAATACATATGGCATCGCTTCTTGTATGAAAACCACTGAAAGCAAGTTTCTCTTTTAGAAACTGGTAAGACTGCTCAATCACCAACTCGCATGCAAATAAGCTTCTTTAGTCAGTTTGTAATCGACAACCAAGCCAGAGCCATCTTGAACATTTTCTGTTTGGACCCATTCCCCCAATCAGTGCATTAGCAAAAGGGTCTAAAGGTGATTGCACTTTTTAAAAAAAAAGAGTACAAACTTAAGTCACGAAACTGTAAAAACAATCACATAATTCTGACAATAGTCTTTCGTGAATTTGGGCTGCAAAACTGAAAACTGTGATTCTTTGTGGAAAAAGAGAATTCTTTTTTTTTTTTTACTTTTGCATCTACTTTCCATGCCTTTCTTCTTCCTAAGTATTCACCGAACTGAAACATTCACTGGCTTGCTCCGTAAATCTTCAGTTTATTGCCATAAGGTGGATGCAAATGTATACATTTGGGAAATAAAAATCAACCTCCAGTGCAGCCGATTTGAACAACAATAAACTTAGCGTTCAACTTGAGAATTATTTTTGAAAGACTACTGCAGGCAACACACACTCGGGCCCAGAATGGGAGGTCCCAGAATGGTAAATTTCTCTCCTAAGTTGTTTTTAAGGGAGGGAGGGAGGCACTGACTTTAAAAATATGTGGCAGTATGTGAAACAATTATTTCCTCCACGCTTCCCCTGCCAACCAACCAACCAACCGACAGACAGACAGACAAACAAACAAATGAAACCAAAAATGGGCAAAAATACCACTTCCTTCTAGTTCTCCCTCCTAAACGTGTCACACGAAATACTCATACAAATATTACCACTAAATAAAATACAAATTCTGTACAAAAAAAGTGGCTAAGCCATCCAATTCACGATCCTTCTCTTCCACCAAAATTGATAAAACAGCACACCCCATTAGGCTACAGACGCTATCTCTCATACCATAACAATATATATATCTGCTCTACTTTTCTTCCTTATAATACCATAATTCATAATATAAAAACCCAACTTCTTAGAACTAAAAACATCAACCACAAAAAATATCGATTACACGGTCTGTAATTTTTAAAAAATGTATACACTCTAGCATTATTGTTGCAAGAAGTTTGGAGCTGTGTCCATAATATTTAAATACATGTCATAAATCAAGTTCAAAAATCGGAAAGAAAGAAAAAAGAAGATTGTCAGAGAGAGATATATATTGGATTAGAGCACATTTCTTTGGACGGAAAAGCACAACTGTTTCAATATAGTAAAGCACACATAAATTAGACCAGAACTGGGGTTTGCGGCTTTCCCCCCGAGCATTCCTAGTGATTGCCCGGCTTTGCACAGCCATTTTGATGAAAAAATACAATCAATGCATGTTTCAACAGAAATGCACCAGGCACTCTATTGATGCCAGACTTTTTCTTCTTTTCAATCTGACATCTTTGGGATAACTATGAGATATTTCAAAGTGTCTTGAGGTATCCAAACCAGATTTTACTGCTCGGTTCGATGAACAAATTTCACTCCACATTGCAAATTTTTCCCCTCAAGAAATTCAACATACATGTATATCTGGGAGTCTGACAATCAACAGAGTGCTAGGGGGATGGACCAACATATCTGGTCAACAATGTGCTCTGACCCAACGCAACGTAAATATTTTCCTCTCTCTCTGCAAAAAAAATTCACACAAGATTGCAATTCAGCTGCAAAACAAGGGGAAACATTGGTAATGAAATAAATCGTGTAGTGAGGTCAGGAGGGCAGCTTTAAATGAACAATTTCTGAGTCACTTGGGGGGTTGAAACACTACATGTACTTACCAAATTAAACTGAGCAGGGCTGGGATGGACCCCTCAGGCTACCATGTTTCTATCCATCAACATTTTAAATCAGTTCTGCATATTAGTGATCAGCCCCGCTCCTGACCTCAGCTCATGAAAAGACCTCATAAGGAGCACAGATTCCACACATTAAAATGTTGCTTTGTTCCATTTTCAAAATCAATTTTTTTTTTTGCTAACGGTACACGAGTCTGCCAAATAGATTTTACAAGATAAGGGTACATCAGATACAACCAATCCATCACAAGCCATGATCAACTGAATACAATCAATTGTTTACAATGTCTAATTTGCCGTTATAAGCGTCTGTGTTTTAACAAAGGCAAAGGCAAGAAACATTTCACAATAGACGTAACTTTCATGGGCAGTGAAGAACAAATGATAACCACTCAGACAGTTTTTCTATCCAACCTTCATATCTAAGCAGTGTCAAACATCTCAATTTGCAGTACTTTTGAATAATGACTACATTTTCATAACAGAGTACAACAGAACTGGCCACGTTCCACTGTTCTCAAAAATTTGGAAGCATGTTTCAACTTATGTCACCTTTTACAAAGAACTTGTAAAAAAAAAATGAAATGATATATCTTTTTTACCCATTGTCCTGTAAGAAATTCTGGAATCTGCAATACAAATTTCAGAATCATGTTTTTGCAATTGCACAACTTCTGCTGAAATTAGTACCTGACACTGACATTTCTTTGACAATTCTCTTTGTCAGAATAAATATTGATTATGGACTGAAAATGGTGATTAGTTCTACAAATCGACTTTGGGTGATAATGGTTATTCATGGGAACTGTGCAATCCAGAAAAAAAAAGTAGCGACCAGCAAAAATTTTTTTTTTAGTATTGACAGACTAAATGTTAACGTTAATAATTAAACAGGCGTTATTTTTTTATGTACCGTGATCAAACCAAACACTCCTCTAAAGAAAAAACATTTTAATGTTGGAACTCTGTGCTCAGTTTGAGGAAACATATATTGCAACCATCCGCAGAGAGAAGAGAGAAATATCAAGCCAAACAAGCCACCCCAAAAAATATGGCAAAACAGTTGGGGGGGAAACAAGGGTGAGATACAGATGCAATAAAATAGGAGTTAAAAGAGTGAGAAAATGGATATCATTACCTCGTGTATCAAGGACCCTCTGATAGGGGTGTTCCCTGATTGTTCTCCGAATTTTGGGTACAGCACCTGATGCGTATACAAAGGTGTCCAAGCAGGTTAGCCACAAACACATACATGCACAAGTAAAAGTCAACGTGGTTGGGGTTTTTGTTATCACCAATGGGAGTTTGTGTGTCTTCCGAAACACGGTGGCAGAAGTGGGATTAGGTTTCAGCAGGAGAGACAGAGAGAGAGAGAGACAGTTGGGAAGAGACAATCAGAGGAAAAAGGGATGAGAGATTTAGGAGCATATAAACGTGCCTAACTTGCTTTTTTTTTTTAATGCAAAAATATCTACATAGTTTCTGATTAAGAAAGAAAATTTATGTGCAAAAAGCTTATTCTCAGCCCAATCACTGCTTACACGCTTTCCATGGGCTCTGAACTATGATTTGGAAGGACGTGAAAAATGTAGAACACTCCACATGAAAAACTGACCTTGGCAAATTTAAAGCAAATTTTTGAGGGGTGCCCTGAATGTTAAGCATGCTTTTAGAGACTTCTGCTTCATCTACAGCATTTTTTGGGGGGGTCCAAAATTCATGGTTGCCAAGGCCAAGCAGAACAAATTGGTCTTCAAAACCATAAAATGAAGAAACGACAGAACTAGCAAAGGAATATGTGAATGAGCAGCGGAGGTGAGCGGTTGGGTGGGTTTGGGTGAAAACAAAAAAAGGAAGGTGGCATATCCGGGTATTGGGATAGAAGGAAATTGAGAATAGGCAGTGAAATTGGGGATTGGAGAGAAGTCTTGGTACTCCTTCAACCATCTCCCACCAAAAAAAAAAACAACAAAAACATGAGAGTGAAGGAATAAGGTTGGTAAAGTTGAGAAAGAAGACAAAACTGGTGTTGGGAGGAATAAGGGGAGGGGCTGGAAATGAAAGCAACTGGGAACAGTAAAGGTACAGCTGCAGCAAGGAGATGAACATCCCAAAAAAAAGCCCTCCAGGGGCTTTCAGAGACAAAAAAGGGGACAAGAAACTCAAGCTGTGTAATCATCGAGGAGACATGCAAGATTTTTGGTCACACCAAGAAAAGAGAGCTCTGCCAAAAAAAGAAACAACTCCTCATGCTAAAATACTCCGAAGAACAGATGCTGTGATTAGGTCAACCACATACGAAATGTGAGAGGTTGAATTCTGAAAGAGAGAATACAAACGTGCGATGGAACTGAAGATAATACGCCACAAGTGTATTGAACAGAAGTGGTTCGGAACGAGCCGGAGTTGCGGAAACTCCTTTCTAGTGCGACAAAAAACCTTCCATGTCTCCTAATCTGACAAGCAATTTTGCTGTCACAAATTTTTTTTCATTCCCTTGCCGACATCTGAAAGTGAGAATCTCGGAGTAACTCAAACGATACTTTTGTTTGGGCAATGTCATTGGGGAATTGGAAAGGGTCCACAAAAGAAGTCCTGTGACAGAAAAATGCCCTGATGATAAATCTACATGTGTAATCTACACTACAATGAATCAATGGTGGATCCACGTATCACAGAGTGAAATGTCCTTGTGTCACTGCACACCTCTGGATTTTTTTTTCCAGCCGAGTAATCCCCTCCCCCCCAAATTCCTTAATTCAGGGAAACCCCTCCCCCCAAAAAACAGGGCTTAAAAATAAACACAGATTGGATTTTGAGCAACTTGCCAAACATTTTCACTGAAAAAAGTTCAGAGTGCTTTTTGACTTTAGAAATTGATGCCAATGTTATTTTTCCCTTATCAAGCAAAATTGTAAATCATTGCAAATTTATAATTTACCATGCCATTGGCAATAAAAGTGTGGACATGTTTCTGTTCTCCTCTGTGTGTGTTTAAATTTGTTTTCTGAAATTCATTTTGCATCTAGCATTTTGACTTTTTTTTGCGTAATACTGTAAAAATCACTTCTTCAAGGTGATGTACAACAGACACCAAAAAATTGGGTAAAAGCAAATGGAAAATGTCCTTTTTTTTTAAAATGCCTCCAAAAATAGTGTCCAACATCTGAGCCGAAGAAATGCTACGAGTGATTCTTAAAATTAGTGAAGACAATGCAATTTTCTTTCAATGCGAGCGATTAATGTCCAAAAAAAGAGGGTGTTATGTGGTTAATTCATGACTGGAGTTATTTGTCTCACTTGCAGTGCACCAGGATTATGAAAACAAATGCCATTTCCAAAGAGAATTTTTTTTTCAGTCTAACTACAGGAATTAGTAGTATGGTCAAGTAACTGAGTTGTGCAACTGTTCGTTTTATTCAGAATTCCCCCCTGCCCCCGGAATTTTTAACTTGCCTAAACGATCCCAAGGATACAACTTTCTAATTTTTTCGAACTGGCATAAGTAGCAACTTGTCTAATTTGCCGGTCTTTCCTGAGTTGTCATCTATCCTCAATTCTCATTATGAAACTAAGGTGTTTCTGAGGATTTCCTAGTTAGGTTGTTTACTTCTGTTTGTCAGCAAACGGACGCTTATACATCTACTTTTTGGTTTGGTATTTTTAAAAATTCTTTGGCTGAAACCCATCTGCTAAGATTTTCTCAAAATTGAAACCTGTCCAACAACAAAATATATTAAATAAAAAATAAAAATTTCAATGTCACATACGATCATTCAGATCACTTAATTTAAAATTCACTGAAAGTTTTTGAATTTCCATTTGTAGCTTTTATTCTACTAAAATTCTGTGCCTCCTTGCAATAATTTGTTTTTTCAATTACTTGATACAAGTGCGGGTTCGGTGTGCAGGACAAGTTGTGGGAACAATATTGAAAGTCCAGTTCACGGATGCATCGGCTGCATGATCGTCGGCCGTAAAAGTTGTGAGGATCAATGCACCCCGATACAAGACATACCAATAGTACCCTCAGACGGCGTGGGAGGGTAGTCGAGCACGGTGGGCGTCACGGCGTATGGGTAGTGCTCGTAGGGAGAGATCATGAAGCTGGTCCCATCGGCTGTCGACACCATGGGCGGGGCCACGCTGTTGGCAAGGAGGGTCTGGCCGCTGGCCATCCGCGGGAAGAGTGCTGCCGGGGGGTGGGCGAGGAGCTGCGGGTTGGCGGCCGGCGTCGGCGACCGCAGTGGTTGGGGGATGAGGGCAGCGCCCGGCGCGATCATTGGTCGGGGGGAAGCTATGAACAAACAACGGGAACATGTTAACACCATGCATTAAAAAAAATATTGTCTCTGCTCTCCTGGGTGGTTTGTTGAAGTTAGTGGGGTTAAACTTCCTAGTTGGGTGTGGTTTGTTTTGTTATTTGAACAGGTGTTGTCTGGCTGTTAGTCGTCTACGGAAAGAACACGGGGGAGATGTCTTTACCTGGTATGAATGCGCAGCCACCAGGCGGAATTTCAACTATAACAGAAAAAGGTTAAACCACTCTTAATGCAAACAGAAATCAGAACACATCCAAGGGTCACTTTCAAATATGTCACAGGATAATGCACACCTTTAGTACAGGATAAAAAAGATTTTTAGACACATGATGCTAAGCGCTAGAGAAGATTCATGGCAGGTGAAAATCAGATTAAGGCCAATAGACTGACTGCAGCTGCCAAGTCTGGCGACAGTGACCTATTGGGCAGCATGGACATCTGGGAGTTTTGGAAAATGCAACCACACCACGTCAATGAAAACAACTGCAACGGGCGCACGCGTAATAACTAATCAAAGAAATGATTGTTTAATCTGGTCCTCTGACTGGCTGGTGTACGCGTACATGTACGTTGCCATGGTTGCTGTTTTCATCAGTTACTACCCACCATTTTGTGAGAGTTCCAGATGTCTGTGCCGCCGCGTAGTGGGTACCGAACATCAATAAACATGACACCATCCCATAGCAAATGGTTGTTAACCAAAAATGAAGCCAATTTTCGGGAGAGTATTCAGAATATTAGTAGTCCCAGTACTGTCTGGACTGTCGGCTTTATTTATGGCAAATTGCACTTACAACACACTTTGCTGTCAGAGGACGCCATGTTTGTTGGTGTTTGATACCCACTATAGGTCACATGACTTAGTGGGTGCAATCAGTCTAATACTTGAGCAAACGCAAGTGTGTTGCATAACTAGGGATGAGGGTGTATGTTACAGATACAATCCATCGTTTGGCATTTGTGCACTACACTTCTTTGAGGCAACAAGCAGGCTTCAAAATCTGAAGACAGGTGCCTTAGAACAAACCTGATGAGGTTTCAGCTCAATGAATGCTGGATATTCTCAGAAAAAAAAATGACATTCTGGGATCTCCATTTCAAATCAAACATTGCCAGGTCAGTTTTTGACTTGCACCCAAATTCAGTGTCTTCTCAACAATAATTTCACTTTTTTTTTTTTTTTGACGACTGCAAATGATGGACTATACCTTTAATGGATGGTGTAAAGGTTCGTAAACATGATATTCTATTACAAACAGATGGGGATGAGTATTTTTTATGATGCTAGTGCATGTAATTTGAACAAGGTACTTCTTCAATGCGTGCATCTACCTGTACAAGTCTATTGTGGCTGGTAGGTTTGTTTGTTTTGGAATGAATGCACTCGTACTGTTTCTAAAGATTAATATATGAGCGCACGGGCAGGGCGTCTGTTTATGTACGGTGGATCGACAGATGTTTAAAAAAAAAAATCAGACTTTTTTGTTCAGGCTGGTGTGTTATATTCCTGAAATGCAGGGCCAAGAAGTCTACAAAAATACTCTCTGGAAAAAAAAGCTGCAACATGCATTCTATTTCAAAAGGAAAATGGCTACGCAAAAACTAAAAAAAAAATTGCTACGAACAGTGGCACGTGTACGGCATCTACAGGGAGAAAGATGAAGAACATTTTGCGCAAAGAAGGTCCAAGTCAGTGCCACCAGCTGAGCCAGTTTGAGAAACTTGAAAGACTTTTGCAGATTTCTCTTGAGTTTTCTGAATTTTCTTAAATTAAGCTGCACTTCTCTGCAAGGTGAAAGGCGGTCAGAACAGTTATTGTTAATTGCCGTCAGTTGAGTCAAATACTCGACCATCATTGGTGCCCTGCCCCCTGTGAACAGAGTTCCTAAAACAATGTTAATGTTGCTAAGAACGGTGGGGAATGAAACGAGAACCAACAAAGAGGTGAGGTGGTATGGAAAGTGCGGCAGAATGTTGGAAAGCTGTGGGTTTTGGGTGGTTAGTGGCATGGGTGGAGTTATCAGATGAGAAAATTCAAATGGGGGGGGGATGTGGGTTTAGTTCCTAAGTTCATTTGCTATTTTCATCTGTGCAAAAGAAAAAAAAAAGACTTGAGGGAATTAAGCAGTACTGAAAGTACAGCAAGCTCAGTTAGAACACTGGACGATGTTGATTAACTGTAAAGCGTGAACCCGCCTTTGGGCAAAGTGAATTTAAAAACAAAGGAAGAAAAACACTGGTTCCTCAAAATACGTCATCATAAAATGCTTGCCATACTTGAGATTAGAATTTGTTGATGTTACGTGACAGACTGTTGTGCTGTGACTCTGGGGGGTCACCCGGGGCGAGTCATTTATGACTTGACTTGAAAAGCAATTCTTGTAGGACCAAGACCACAGATCATTCAACAGAGGACAGAAAAGAATACACCTGCATTCTGGATGTCACTCTAGGGAGAAAAATTGTCTACTGGTCCATTTCGTGGGGATGCCATTTTTGGACCATCAAAAACCCCACGTCAACAGGGGAGCAGCACAAGGTGTCACAACCCTAACCAAATCCAAGGCCGGGCAAGTTTGTGACGGATCCTGACACACGCACAAACAGGAGCTGGTATTCTATTTGGAGTCTGTGGGAAAATATGCAGTGTTAGGATGAAGGAGTAATCATGATTGCTCCAACTGGTTTTATGAATAATAACCTCATACCAAGGAGGGATATGCTCTGACTACAGAGAAGTGTCAGGCAGTCTTGTAGGAGACATCTTAAGACGATCACACAATGTCGGAAGACCATCACAAGACCTCCAGTCTGAATTCACGCTATGAGCTATTCAACTGAACTACAATGAAAGCATTCCTTTGTCGCTCTTCGCCAATACTTGTGACTGATTATGCGAATGGTCTTCGTGTCCGGTCTTGAGACTGGTCTTGCGATGGTCTCGACAACAACGCTGGTGTCGGGGAATGAACTTCGACAACCCTGTCCCTGAGCGAGGCTTAAACCACCTACCAAGAGGCGTGCTAGGATTGCTACTGTTTTTGCTGGAGGTGTCCCTGAATGTGCCGTTGATGATGGCCAACTCCATCAGCTGTCTCTTCTTCAGCTCATCTTCACCGTCCGCCTGATGCAAAAAAAAAAAAAGAAAAGAAAAAGGAAAAAATCTTGTCAATGATTTTTTGCCCACTTAACCCCCAGATCAAGCTATCCTGAGAGTATAATGGCTACATGATGATGCTCACAAGTAGCTGTCGAGGGAAGGAAGGACAGCAACTGTACATGTACCTGACATGGTGACATTTCACGAAATTTCTGGAAGGGTAGAGTTTCTGAACAGTAAGCTTACAACCATTTTTTTCTCATGAGCTCTCCAACAGCACTTAATAGCTTTCCAAGCTTGTGGGATGAGATTTGTGAAGTGAAAACCTAAAATATCCACAAAAACTTCAGTTAAAGAAGCTGGCGACATCAAGTAAGACATTGCCAGATTTCATGCTACTGGTGGGATTGCATCACCCAGACCAGAATATCAGGACGTGTAGTACCACTCTTTAATCGATAAACCTAAATCAGTAGTCAGACTTTCAATCAACAAAAAAATCTACGAAAATTAATCCAATGTTTTGAGGCCAATGAATGAAAAAACTGAAGATGTTTGGATAAACATTTGTCCATTTCTGCTTGCTACCTCCTAAAATTTGTTACACTGAATCTGCATCTAAAGTGACTTGCAATGACATGCGTCTAGGGAAAGTGATAGAAACCACTAGCCAGCCTATGGCTTTCATACATTCAAGTCACAGCCAATCAATTGGGACATGACCTCAGACAAGGCTTGGAGGAAGGAATGGACAAGGTTTACAAAGTAGACCCAGTGATACTTCCTACTGGACGGGAAATGGAAGACTGCGGAACTATCCGTGCATTTCCTCTCAAATCTGGTAACCACACTGGCCTGGGGTAATGAGCACATTTACTGTAAGTGACCTGGTTTTTTTTTGGTATTTTTGACCAGATGCCTCCAGGGGTGATCACCTTCCTTCTGTACTATCGGAGAGGAAACAGGCGCTTAGCGTGTTTTGTCGTTGGCAGATCACAAAAACAGACAAAATGTCAGGAAGGTGCCAGGCTTCAGGTACGGTATGGGACCCCGGCCTTCTGCTATACATTTGAGGCATGTCACCTATTGGGAGCCGTGCCATCAGCTTTGCTTTAGGTCACATTCAACGCCAGAAAACAACATATAGAGACGATCTAATTACCCCACTGGCTTCCGTGCTCCAGTCTATTGGGCCGCTGTTGTTAAACTTTCGCGAACATGGACACGCTTCCCAGTCAGAGGAAATTGGGAAAGAGGTATTTACGACTGGGGCCATAACATCAATATTAAAAACAAGCCTGTCATCACACATTTCGATTCCAAGGGGATTTTGAATGGGGGAGTTACTCATCAAACTGAGAACCACCCTCCGCGCGCTTTGATTCTTGTTCAATGGGTCATTCCACGAGGTTGGGGCACAATTTGTGACAGTGCCTTGTTACATCGGTAACTTTTACCACCTGTCATGACCTGTAGAGTAGGTCATCTACTCTGTAAAAATAACACACGCCTCTGTATTTAGCCTTGCAAGATGTATAACAATGTCAATTTGGAATCCATATGCAGGGAAATTGCTGTTCAATTGTGCCCCAACCCCATGGAATAGCCCCAATATCTATTCAAGTGTGAGTTCAGATTTTAGACCATCAGGAAAATGCAGAGGCCTACTACCTGCAGTGGTCAATATCACACAGGCTAAAAATCCTGAAAACTGAAAATGCCTGTCAGGTGTTTTCACAAGAAACGCCCACTTTGGAAGATCTTTCACTGAAATGAATTAATACTGTGGACTTGGCCTCCATGCTAGTGTTAGTACCTCGAACCACGATTGAACCCACAAACAAATCCAGGGCAAAGCCCCCCCCCTTACCTAAGGCTGTGTCAATAATATAGCTATGGCTGAAAACTGCACAGGCTGCTATGAAAGTCATTCAGCTTGCGGCCAGTCATACACTTTCCATGGACACAAATGTTGGATTTGGCTGTAGCTGAGTAATTCAAGTGTACCTTGGTGGATCCTATGCGCAGATCCACCCAACAAAGGTGCACCTCATTGTCAGCCACACCATCTTCCTTGTTATTCACTCTTCCACGACCTTGCCCAAGGATCAGGACAGGGGTCAATGAAGAATAACAGGCAGGTCAGCAGGTGTGGCCTGTCAAAATGGGAACTCTCCAGGCAGATTGTTATGACACAGAACAGGGAAGCAGTCAATCTGGCCTTAATCATAACACGCACAGTGCATGCTCTGCTGTACAATAACAGTGCCAATTTTGGAAGAAACGTCAGGGAGAAAACTCAATGATGTTGGCTGGGGGGACCCAGTTTGAGAGGAAATATTTGGCAAGGCAGATCAGACAAATGGGAGGGGGGGGTGCTCGACACCCCTATTCCCCAAGGACCAATGAAACACAGCCACAGTCATGCGATAATATGCCCTGTCAAGTATGAAGCAACTGCTTCAAGTAAGTTGTCATCGTTTTGACATGTGCCGTCAAACACAAACAAGTACCATATATGCTGCCCACTTCCAAGTTAAGCCTGCAGAATTACACACTGTCTCCGGGTGCGTACTGGTAAAGTCAGGTAACTTTATCCAAACGAAATTTGCCCACAATCCCAGGGATTCTGTGCCATATCCCCTAGCAAGGAAAGTGCACCAGGGTGAGCTATACCCCGAGCACACAACAGCCAACACAACCCCGACCCTTCTTTATCAAAAACATCTTTCCTGGACAACTGAATCAAATAACTAAAAGACATCTTCGACAAGGGATAAAGCGCATTAAATCCAGGTACTGGACGCTCATAATCTCAAACTTTCTGATTAGTAAGTTCGCCCCGCTGAGCTTCTATCGATTTGCTCGGATTTACTGGTAGCCTTCTCTCTCCGTGCATCCTGAGCCTGAGTGGGCATTCGATAAGCTATTCTTGGAAAAGGTCACTGGTCGTTACTTTCAAACATTCTAAATGTCATGAGTGATGGTACATGCAGATTTCAACACACTACCCTGAAAAAAATCTTACTTTGGATTTGACATGCATTCCTTTTTTTCATCTGTAGTTATTCTTGGGGGGATTTCTAAGTGGTTTAAAAAGTCATTACGGGTAATTATTCATACGCAAAGCATGCAAAGGAAAGAAGTGATTTGGAACTGAACTACTGAGAGCAAAATAGAAGTCCTCGAGGAGGACATTGACTTCAGCACCACATGCATGGCATTTACATTCAAGATTCTGTCAAGGCAGCCCTGCTGGCGCGAGTTTGGTATTTGCACCGAGTAATTGAAGAGAAATGCCAATTCCAAAGGACAACGTGTGCACAGTGTTAAAAAAAGTATTCCGATGTGATGACAACCTTCAAAACGCACCAGCTGGCCACTGGGGCAACTTAGCAAGATTGTACTCAGTACCCACATTGGTCACTGGCCAAAATCTTCCCAAGCCACCAAAGGACAGACGACAGTTTATCAAAGGAAAAAGAAAGTTTGACCTTTACCCAACTCACTGACAGTTGACCAACTCGCTGTCATGGCAACTAACACTGCAGAGATATTTTCTACTTGAGAAGTTCCACGAACAAGGCACACACACAAAAATGAACTGTCTGCGGAATCCTTCAAGATTACCCCCAGAACTGTGGCGTCCAACGTCCGCTCCGCTCCCACATTCACAGGAGCAGAGCGGACGTTGGACCCCACAGTTCTGGGGGTACTTCAAGATCACAACTTAGATGCACATTGTGGTCAACAGCAGTTGAAATTGCAGCACTAGGGGCGGATCTGGAATTTTTTGGGGGGGAGGCTTTCATAGTTTATGTCAAACTTTTGTAGGCAGGCAATTGTTACGGATGTTCGAGTCATAACCCCTTACAGGATGTAATCTTTTTTTTATCACTACTACAATTCTCTATATTTTATCTTTGGTATCAGAGAAGGATTCCCCCCCCTCCCAACAGTGCCTGACTATGGTCTCTAGTGACTCTATGGTCAAGGTGCTTGACTGAGGTACATGTAAGCCCAACGATGCACTGTTTTGTCTACATCACAAGCCAAATTTGATAATTTTCACAGGGCAAGGCCCTTCTTCGATCACCACAGATGAAAATTCTGACCTTTGCCTAAACGTTTTTCTCAGGCATACCGCACGGGACCCCGTTGTGCAGAAGGCTCACGACACAGGGGTGCATTAGGAGCACTGCCAGGGACAGCACAGTGGGTCAGATCGCTGCTGATCACTGGCAAGACAGCCATCTTGAATTACAGGGTTCCCGGCGGCACAAACCTGCGCATGCCAGCACAAGGCACGCTGTGGCAAATTCCTCCCCGATTTGAAGACAGGAGAGGGCTGGTGTGAAAGCAAGGTTACCCAAATATTCTAGTGGCTCCTGGCAAGGTTGGGGCGGGGCTTTATTGACATTACAACACAGGCCAATAGAAGTGTACAGTGTACACTGTACCCGGTACTTATAGACTAATCCCATGGCCACAGCTCTAAATCTCAACCATGTACATCATGTTGTACACATGAGAGTCCATGGAGGCACTCCTGAACCAGCCAGGGAGTTTTGCAATCTTGCCAAAATGCATCAGTCAACAGTCATGTAGGCCTACTCCAAGCATGTCACCACACCTGTCCAAATCCCGCTCAGACGAATAAATAATGTTCATGAACTGCTCATGATCATTCAATGTCAGCAGTACATCAACAATGAAACTTATTCAAATTATTTATGAACAGTTCCTGAATGTCCCTGCATAAAACCAAACCAAAAAAAGAGCCAATCACCTGTTCAAGAACAACATGCATCATTCATGCATGCAATAAGGGCATGGACATACCGAAAAGACAATCAACGTGTACATAAATACCATAAAGACATAGCATCTTCTTTTCTGCAGGTGCATACATGTACACTGTACATGAATGTGAACAGAATGTACGTGTACATGTACATTTCTCTATGGACAGCTCCGTTATGCAATATCGTATTAAAGTAATGCACACTTAGTCAATACACAAG